CCCTCTACTTCCTGGCATTCAGCGAATGCTCCGTGTGCCTATCCCGATTTGCAAAAACATTTAGGCTTTTGCAAAAACATTCAGTTTTTCAAACCTAAAAGGAATGGAAATGCAAAAAAAAAAAAAAAGGTTAAAATATACTTCTTTTAAAAATAATAAATATAAATAATGCCTTTAAACCCAAGGTCATGCACACTTCAGCACTAGATTTGTGCAAGACAGCCTCTGATAGCCATCTAATAAAAAACTGTACTGTTAAGGACTCATGTATTTAGAGTGTTTGTGCTGAGAAAACCCTCCATGAACACTTAGTTTTTGTTACAAATTAGAATACGTCTAATGAAGCATCGATTTGCTTTAGACAAAAGTCATTACTTTACATAATTACAGTTCTTTTTTATTCTCTGTGCCTTATAAATCCAATGCTGGCCCTTTAATTCCTGCTCCTTCTATCAGGGGGAAGAATACGGAGCTAAATCCAGCAGACCTTATTTTGGCAAAACTCCCACTTGAAGTCAGCGAGGGTTTCGTAAAGTGAGGACGGCGTGATTTGTCTCACAGTGCCTGCTGATTATCTGGAACAGGTTTGCTCCCCTCCTTGAGCACCACAGCTCCTCATCGAGTTTGACATCACCACGGCTTGGCGGCTCACAGCGGGTTTTTTCTGTCTGTAAGCCGGCATCGTGAAAATCAGTGTAATGCAAGAGTGAAAAATACCTTTTGCACCCGTGGTCTTGCAATAAAACAGATTGTCTTGGGAGTTTGGAAGCTGCTACTGAACTAACAGTATTGGAATGGAGACCCTGAGAATTTGGAGAACTCATTTTAAATTAATGCCGAGAATTTAAAGAACTCTTTAAACGAACTGAAAATGGGTCATATTCTAATTGTTAAAAACCAACTGGGTGTTGCCCAGACAGGTGGTACCCTGTGATAAAATTGTTGATTCGTGTAATACTTCCTCACTGGAACCCTGATATGTCCACGGAAATTTTAATTCTGTTCCCATGACGAAAGGGCATGGGGCAAGGCAGCTGAAGAGTTAACAGTGTTCCGAGTTCTTTCTGTCTTTTTTTTTCACTTAAGTCTGAGCAAACGCGGGGCCCATGAGAGAAACCAGATCTGCCAGCACCAGCGCTCTCCTCATCCGCAGGCGAGATGATGGAGCAGCAGCTTTCCTGCCAGGGCAACATGTCGTGACCTTTCTCCCAAGGGGACACCTTTCGGGTGACATGCTTCGGTCTCCGTGGTCTGTCGGTGGGGCCCCTGCCTGCCTCCATGTGGCAGCTGGCTCCAGGCTCGCCAAACGCCAAATCGCTTCACGTAGATCCCTCGTGGAGGCTGGCTGGCAGGTAGTTTGCAGCGAGCAACCCCTCGCTGTGCGTCAGGGCCAGGCGCAAAATCGTGGTTGAAGAAGTAGCAGCTCTGCGTTTCATTTCCAGTTCCTGAACCAGTAAGTCACTGGGAGAACAGATTTCATAGTGGGGACTCTGCTATCCATGCTTATTAATAAGAATGTCCTCACTGTGAGGACATTTTCAAGGCACTGACCTGTTGCTAAATGCTTCTGTTATATTGTGCTTCCTAACAGTGAGCAGCACCGCACTGTAGAGAATTCTTATCCAGAAAGCTCTGGAAATCAGTTTATTTAAACATAATAAATAAAACAGCAAGGCCTGACTTTTATGATTGTGGGCAACTACACGCATATGATTTCATTAGTAGTAATATCCATGTGAGTAAAGATATACAAGTAATCCTACTTGGGTTTCTTAAGGAAGTCTAGGAACATTTATTTTATTTATTACCGTTCAAATGGCATTAAAATGGTACCACTCCTCTACACAAAACAATCTGATATCCAGATGGTGGAATGGCAGATGCGCCGTTTTCTCCTGCCTGTTTCTGATGCCCGTAAATATTTCATCTCTTAGGGCCACGTGGAACTCGCTTGTAGCTCTAAGGACAGCTGAAGGCAACACGCCTGAATAACACGAAGCTGCGGACGGCTGTCGTGCCACTGTGGCTGGAATACTTCCTCACCCCGTTCTGGGTAAAGAGAAGGAGAAGCCTTCTCAAACAAAGTAGGTGGCTGCAGCTCCTGAGTGACTGCTCAGCGTTCCAGCTGGAAGAAATTTGGTAAGTGCTGGAGACCCATATTTAGCCATGCACATTGTTGATTTATTTGGACCTTCACAAGGGGAAGGCAGGTATTTTTCCAGACGGTATGTTTAATCTCATTAGTTAACTAGCTATGCAATTAGTAATAACAAGGTAAAAAATCTGAAGCAAGCTTTTTGCTGCCGGTTAGGAAGCAAAGGGAAAACTGACATTCGAAGGTTTTTGAATGCTCCCATATCATGAACTAGGTGGAAAAGCCAGTGAACTGAATCCATTAAAGTTGCATTTATTAAATGTCCACTTGTATAAAAAGCTAAAAATAACATCTGAGTTTTTCCAATTTTCTTTTCATAACAGTTATTATGAATTTCTGCTTCATCTCAGAAAGCCATTTTGCTGCTGCTGTAGTGTATAATCTGTGTGCCCTTTCTTGGTGCAGTACAAATGACAGAACACTAATCAGATCAGAACAACAATCACGTCATCTTTGAGTAACTAGCAATAAACTGTTTTTACAAGGAAGAAAGATGAACTATTTTTAGGATAACTGAACAGAAAAACAGAAAACGATTATACTCAATCTTACTCTACATCGTTGCTCTGAATTTTGAAAGCATTGCTTTTTCTGGGGAAGCAGGCTAATCCATGCAATACATCTTTGCACAAATGGTCCAGTCAAGTAGGGTTTTTAGGGCTTTGTTAAAAGTCTTGAAGTATATAAAAACCCCTTCTTCCTTGCCCTGTCTGGCGACTCTGAACTGTAAGCTGATTCCTAAGTAACCTAAAGGCCCATTTTTGGTGATTATCCCACGTTTTCAGCATGCCTTGTATCTAGTTGTCCATGTTCCTTGACTGTCGCTGGCAAGTGCTCAGCAGAATCCTCCTTTAGAAGATGAGGTACACGACCACCGTAACTTTCTTCAGCTCCCACAGCGTATGGCTGGTGAAGTCCTGGTAATACTGGTACAGGGCCAGTGGGGAGAGAACGTGTGGGTCTTTCTGGAGGTGGCTCTGCCCGCGCTACAGAGCCTGCGTGTGTCTTTGGCCTGAGCGTCTCCCTACCAGATGGACGTGGCTCCCTTTGGTGCCTTCCCAGAGCTCCTTCTCCTGCCACGGGATCAGCTCAGGGAAGCAGCGGGAGGGGGCAACGCAGCCCCTTCATCCCAGGCCGGCCAGCTCTACTCACGCCTGCGTCCCACCCCGCACCCCACGGCCTTCCTTCTGTGCTCAGCAAGAACACGCGTAGGGGAAAAAGCTTCTCCTTGCCCCGGGGAAGATCAGGGTGCAGCTGTTGAGAAAGACTATCTGCAGCTATTCGGCAGCGTGGGAGGGCTTACACGAGGATGTCCTGGGAATTTATGGATTTGAGACCCACTCCTTATGCATACACTGCAGTCTGGAACCCTTTGGGGGCATCCAGATTAAATTTCATTAAATGACCCATTCCAACCTCTTTTTCCTGCAGCCCAGCAAGCTACTTGTCATTAAGAATTTACCTTCTTTCACCAAAGAAAGGTAAAAAAAGAACAGAATGCCACACAGTCAAAACATAAGTCATCAGATTTTAGTTTAGTTCTGTTACCAAATACATTTAATGCAAAGGCAAACTATACAATTACCGTACTCTCTCTTGATAGACAAACAGTAGCAGATCTCATAGATACCAAAGAAAGCGATATTATTTATGTCTGAAAAGACATTTGACTTCAAGCAGGAAAAACTAGCAAAAAATAAACCAATCCTATCTAGAAATTCAGTAAGCCAAGAGACTAAAGAAGAAACGTGAGAGTTCTGATCCTGCAGTCTTATCTCTCTGCTTCTGATCTCTGCCTGTTGCTAAGAGGTGCTCCTCCGAAATAATGAAGCGTGAGGGACAGTTTCAAGCTTTACCTACATTCCTCCTACCCTGGGGTGGCTGCGGGTCTCACAATGCAATTTGAAGGGCAGTGACAGTTGCCTGTAGCTCACGGGTCACAGCGAGAGTAGGCGGCAGCCTTGCCAGGTTGTTTTGCACAGCCCAACATACGCCAAAACCACTCTGCCATATTTACATGCACCAGTAACCCTCCCTCCCTGGGATGAGCCTCTTGGGACAGCGTAATTGCTCTGGAACCCGCTGCAAGGATGAAACAGCACCCAATGTCCTCAGTGGAGAAAGCCTTTAGTTGAGCGCTGTTTACACTTTCACATGGGCAACACAGCAAAATGAGAAGAAGGTGAGAGAAACACTTGTCAAAAGCAACGAAAGAGAACAGGCAAAAGCTCAGAATCCAAGCGATTGTTCTCAGAACTGACTCCTGATGCTCTAGCAACGAACTGTCTCCGGGAAGCACAATCAGTTTAATTGAACCGTGCAAGGAAAGTCTGACCAGGGGCGTGCGGGCCAGGGCTGGGCAGCTCAGAGCGAAAATGGCTCCATTCTTGCCAGTCACACCTCATGAGTAAAGACAATGGGGAAGGAGAGGGCCAAGCCGGGAGGTCCACAATTATACAACATCAAGTCCCGGGCCTTGCAAAAATGTAACCTTAGTGATACAGAAGAAGGAGCAGAGCAATTACGTAAGTTTTCCGTGACCCCGGAGAAAGATTGTTTTTCCTTTGATCTCTCTGCAGATGCGTGCCATTCCCAGCCTCATAAAACAAAGATTTACGAGGAGGTTCACCCTAGCACTGTTGTTATAACAGATCTTCCTAACCACACTCTGCCATCACTTAAACAACGAAGGAAAAGCTTCGTTGCTCTCTTTTTTGTACACCAAAACTAAATAATGTACAACTAATTGTAGAAACGATGAAAGGAACGATATTTACTAAGAGGTTACCTTTAGGAAGCCAACACGCTGTCGTCCTCCTTTATGTTGCTATCAAGAAGGACGAATTCATAACACCAGCCTGTCTTTACCTCCTTCCCGAATGACTTGACCAATGGCTGATTGATTTTGTTGTTTCAGAAAACATTCCCTCTTGCATTCCATTAACTGCTCAAAATCCTGCCACATTTTCATTTGCTTCATATTGGGCCCATGACTTTCCCGTACAACTTTCTGCTTCTCTCGTAATTTCTGTTAAAAGTACAAAAATATTAAGGGTTTGGGACAATTCTGCACCACGAAAACTGTTTACATAGGCAGCTTGGAATGACAAAGATTTTTAAATGCTCCTGAAGTATTATTTTGTTTGAGTTTTTAACGCTCCTTCCAAGTGATAAATGCATCAACACCTGGGACTCACATATCTGCTTTGTACAAATTGACAATTATTTCAATGTTTTGAAACTATCTAAATAATACTCTTATCTATTTGAGAAGTTATGCTAAAAATCTGAGTTTGCTTCCATGCAGACCTCTTGCTGTATCAAGTCTCAACTTGCAATGGATTTGTATCACGATGTTATAAACATGAAATCAATGTTTTACCATTAAACCTGCTACTGATTATTAGTAGTGGTGGCCCAAACACGTAAACATCGCTCGCAGACTGACTCGTTAAAAGGAAACTAAGTGAATTGGGAAGCCTAACCTTGGCCATGCTGAGCCGAGCTTCGTATGAGATTAAAAAGGGACAACTGTTTTTGTTTAGCACTGCTGTGCTGCTGATCCCCTGGCCTTTAATAACTGTGATAAGGCTGACAGGCTCAAAATTTATTGTCTTCAGCAGGTTGCTTTATATACAGCATAAAATCTGAGCTGGCACGGTTTGTTACGCCCGTGTTTCAGTTTCTTATCCAAATGGTTTTCAGGGAATGTGCCATCACGTTAAGCTGTTCGACTATCTTTTACAAGAGGCTCATGCTCTACTCTGCAGGAAACCAAGCCCCGAGGAGCGAGCCTGATCTCTTTTCAGGGTATTAGTTACCAATGCCA